GGGTGCTCGCAGGGCCGCATTCCTCGCTGCAGGCGGGAGGGCATGCTGTGGCTGGATGTGGTTTGCGTCTGGCCCCTGTGGCTGTGGGGCTGAACCCCACTTCCTGGCCCACGGTCAGCCAGGGGTGCCCTCTGCCCTCGAGGCCTCTGGGGAGCCCACTTCCTTTCTCTTAACCCCCCCAGCAAAGGTGGGTTGGATGCCTCCCTCGCTTGCCCTGTGCCCTGGGCTCTGACTCAGCGGGGGTGGGGGGCTCCCTGCTTTAAAGGGCCCCTTTGCTTAGGCTGCGCCCGCCTGGTGATCCAAGATGCTCCTCTCTCCCTGCATTAGGCCATGACCTGACATCTACAAAGGTCTGTCTGCCATGTAGGCTGGTTCGAGAGTGTGTCCCCCATATGGCGTCTCCCAAATTCATTCCACCCAGAACCTCAGAATGCGCCTTTATTTGGAAATAGGGTTGTTGCAGACGTCAGGAGTTAGGATGAGGCCCTCCTGTGTTATGGGCTCATCACTGGTACCTCTGTAAGAAGGAGAAGGAGAGACACCGATGGCCTGGGAGAAAGCCCCGTGAAGGTAAGGTGGAGAGCGGCAGGAAGCATCTGGAAGGTCAACAGGAGCGAGAAGGATGGATTCTTCCATGGATACTTCAGAGTGAGCAGGGCCCGGCCGACGCCTGACCAGACCTGCGGCCTGCAGAGCTGCAGAGAAGCCCTTGTGTGGGCCGGAGCCTCCGGTGGTATTGGGCAGCAGCCTGAGGGAACGAAAGCCCTGTGTGGCCCGACACAGCCCCAGAGCCTGGGGCGTGAGCCACAGACGCCTCGAGTCTGAGCTGGGCGCACCGCGGGGCGTGTCAGCCCGCAGTGGCTCACGTCGCCGCAGATACAGAATTAGACAAGAACACCAACATGTTGCTTTTTACGGAGCTGCATGGGTCCAGGAGCCGGGGGCGGATGGCGCGCACTGAGCACGGGCGATGTCACAAAGACCCCATCGCTGTGGGGCGAGGGCACCAGAGCCTGGCGCTGGGCTGTGCGGGCTGGCGGCGGGAGACGGGCCCTGCAGAGGCAGCGTGCCTGGAGCCGGTCCGGAAAAGAAACGGGGACTCGTGACTAAGAAGCGGGCGGGGGTCCGTGGTGTGACGACAGGTGCCCCTGAAGGGGGAGGGTAAAGAAAACTGGGAGGTCAAGGCAGGAAAGTCTCCAGCTTAGAGGACAGCTAGAAACCCCTTGGCCCCAGTCCAGCCTGTCCTGCGTGCAAGCGACGGGAAGGAAGGCAGGACTCGGCTCCTCTCCCGGGCGGGCAGACCCAGCGTTGACGGGAGACGGCCTCGGCGCTGAGGAGAGCCCGCGGAGTGCAGCGCCGGGCGGGCGGGCGGGCGAGCTCGCGGGGGTGTGCGGGGCAGGGAGGAGCGGGACCCGCCTTCCAAGGGCCAAGACCCCCAAGGCGGGGGATGGGCAAAGGTGAAAGGTCATTCCGGCCCCCCCCCCCCCCCCCCCGACTGCAGACGCGTCAGGGCGCCCGCTAGCGGGGGTCTGGCTCTGCAGAACAGAGTGGAAGCTCTAGAAGTTGCACTTCTGTGGGCAGGTGTGAAAGACATTTTCTTCAGCAGATAGTGGCTGTTGAGGACTAGTTTGTGGGTTTTATGATACTTTTTTTTTTTTTTTTTTTTTTTTTAATAGAGGCATGCTTTATTTATTTGTTTGCTGGTTTGTTTGTTTGTTTTTGTTTATACATGCACTGGGTACAGTCAGAAGTGCGGGAGGGCGAGAGAATTCACCAGAGCCAGAGCGGGGAGCAGAGCAGGCAGAAGGACCGAAGTACACTGCTGAGGGGGCAGCGGGCGGCAGGAGAGGTCTGCGCGCCATGTGGGACCCTCCTCTGGTGGCCGGGGAGCAGCCGGGGATCGAACCGGCGCCGCAGAGGCCGCGCGCAGCTTCGCAACCCAGCGCTCAACCGCTGCGCCACCGGGGAGGCCCAGTTTTATGATACTTGGGTGAAGTGTGTGACGGGGGTGGCGATGGGGTCACCCTGCTGTGAGGGTCTGTCGCCCTCTGAGTTGCCACGTTGCCAGCACACAGCGATATAATCCGTGAGCAAACAAAGGAGAGAGAATGGAATCGTAAAAATGGCCTAAAGGCGCCCAGAAAAAAGTGATAAATGGAAAACGAAGCGCAAACTGCTGGACGGGCACCAGGTCAGTGAGCCTCATTGGGTCAAGCACCCCAGCAAGGGTGTGGAGATGCTCAGAGGGAGCGAGGAGGCCCCAGGAGGAGGCTGCCGGCAGGAGCCCCGCTTGCAGCGAGGAGGGGCACGGCCTGTGAAGGGCACGACGCAGACTGGTGACAGTCAAAGCGCCAGGAAGAGCACGGCCGTGCCCCGACCCGGGACCCTCGCGTGCCCGAGGACGCGTGGCCGGGGCGGGGGCCAGGCGCGGAGGGCGTGCTGCACCGGCCGGCCCGGCTGTTCAGGCCCCTGCCCCGGGCCGCGCCTCGCGCAGGGCGTTCGGATGACAAGGGCTCTCGCTAGGAGAGTGGACGCAGGAAAGCCCTCGCGTGCTCGGTAGCTGGGGCTCGCCGTCGCGGGTGGAGGAGGAAGCAAGGGGAGCTTTGAGAGTACTTCGAGCTGAATGAAAATGAAAATAAAGCAGTTGAGAATTTGTGGGGTGCTGCTGAGAAGCATCTCAAGGTCAGCCGACCGCATTGCCTGGTGGGAGGGAAAACGGCTCACCTGAGTTCCCGCCATCTCCGCCTCCGGAGGCTGGAGAGGAGCGCACACGGCCCCCAGGACGGCGGCGGGAGACGAGGGGGGAGTGGATGAAATAGGGTGCAGAGGCACGAGGCGGGGGGCTCAGCACCGCCCAGGCGGCTGCACGCCGACCTGAGGGGGAGACCGTCACCAGCACGGCCGCGCCCCTGGGGGAACCCCGTGGTGCCAGTGCGGCCCACGGCCCGGAGCGGGAGACTTGCTCGAGGCAGACGCCAGCGAGGACCTCCCAGACGTGGGAGACCGGGAATCCTGCCCCGCCGTCTGCGAGGACGTCTCCTACTTTGAAAGGCGGTATTGAGGGGTGGAGAGAGCCCCCAGACTGGCAGGAGATGCCCGCGAAGCACATGGAAGACGGTGCCCAGAGTCCACGGGGCTCGCCAAGCTCAGTCATAGGAAACGCAGAGCCCAGTGAGCCAGGCGCCACTTTGAGGCCCCCCACCCCCCCAGGACAGCGCACGCCAGCAGGCCCAGGTGGGGCAGCCGTGCCTCGCAGGAGGCGCCCTCAGGGGGCCGCGGGGCCAGGGCTGGGGAGACGTGGGTGAGTTGGCGCTCTGCTGGGGCTTTGTGGGACCATGCACACGACGTCCCAGAAGCGCCCGCGGGGCGTGGCGAGCCGGCATGGGGTGTGGGGGCCGGCATGGGCCGTGGCGTGTGGTGCTCGGAAATCGCGCCCTGAGCTGCTGCTGACCTGGTCACCGCGGACCCAGCCAGGCTGCTGGTTAGTGTTGGTTGTGCTTTGCTTCACGCAGCGCCGACGAGCGAGCACTGGCTCTCACACCGCCTCCGTGGCCGGGGCATCGCTTCCGGGGCCGCTCCGCAGGTGGCCAGGCCCCCCACCCAGCGCCGTGGAGCTCGGCCCTGGCGTGCAGCGGCCGGGGGTGCCTCCCCCTGTGCGCAGCGGGCGAGAGCGTCCCTGACCCCCCGGCCGGGGCTGGGGTGGCCCCGCGCGCCGACGTCAAGTCCCCAGCAGGCGGCAGGGCTGTTCTGTTCGCTCAGGGTGCTGAGCCGTCTCGTCGGGCCGATGTGGCTTGCGCGGGCAGCACGCGCTGATCTTTGTCTTCCTACCTCAAGTGACTTGAAGCTGGACTTTCTCAGAGGCGGTGGCCCTCTGTGCCGGGAAGCAGCCGCTTGCCGTGTGGCGATCCCACGACGCCGATGCCCGCCGGAGGTGACTGCCGGGAGCCCCGGCGACAGGGAGACGCGCTCGTGTCTGGGAGCCGAACCCGGGGCGCTGACCCGGCCCACCGCACTGTCTGGGCCGCCTCCTTTGTGTCATGGTCCTCCCCGTTGGGGAGGCAGGGGTGCTGGACTCGAGCAAACCGCTGGGAGCAGAACAGCAGCACACACGCCTGCGAGCAGACGGGGCGGCCGCAGGTGAGCCTGGCTGCTGAGGAGGGCCGTGGCTGTGGGACAGCCTGCCCCTGGGTGGAGGCGAGTTTGCAGGGGGTGTTGTTGCGTGGAGCACACCGCGTTCATATTGGCATGGTTTCTTTCTTTGCATCTTGATTTTATAAATTTAGACGCCTCCTAGCCACCGTTTTGAAAGTCAGTTTGGTGTGTTAGGGTTTCACTTATAAGGCGCAGGAGATGTCGCTCCAGACAGGCCTGGGGCGGGCCTGTTCCTGTTGCCATCTTGATAGCTTTTCACTGTGCTCCAGAAGGCCCCGGCGTGAAGGGCCGTGGCATGCCCACCTGGCGCCCCGGCTCCCTCCCGCGGGCGCCGCTCACCACACACGACTGGCAGGGTGGGCTCTGCAGCCCAGCCCGGCCCCGCCCCGCCGCCGACTGCAGCTCGCAGGCTCGGGCCGGGCTCTGGCGCGTAGGTGCGGGGCGAGCGAGGGGCCTGCGTGACGCCCTCGCCTCCACAGGGCAGCGCTGGCCGCGAGGCTGGGGACAGTGCAGCTGCCATTTCGGGGCTCCTTGAGGCGTAAATGAGGTGCGGTGTGGGCGTCCCCTTTGCTGGACTGCTTCGCGCTCTGGACGGGAGCTGCTGGGCGGGTCTTTGGCTGCCACGTGGACCGGCTCTTTAGAGGACGCACTTGTAGGCGTGAGGAAAGGCCGTAGTTTTGGTGTTGCCTCTCCCGACACCCACACGTCGCCGAGGAGTGAAGGCCAGGGGGTCTGGGACCCCCCCTGCTTCTGGGCGATGCCGTCGCTGCTCCCGTCCACGTGAGGCCCTTCGCCCCGTGGCGCCCGCAGCCGGCCGGGCTGTCTGACCCTCTGCTCTTTTCCCACAGGCCTGTGGAACCTCGCCTCTCTCTTCTCCAACCTCTGCTTATTTGTGCTGATGCCCTTCGCCTTTTTCTTCCTGGAGTCAGAAGGCTTCGCTGGCCTGAAGAAGGTGAGTGGCTGTGTCCTGCCCGCGGCTGTCGGGGAGGAAGCGGGCGCGTCTTCATGTGGGGCTGCTTCCACGGGTGGGTGTGCCTGGCCCGGCCGCTGTGCCCCTGCCTGGGCCCCCGCCTTGGTGTGTGGGGAGTAGCCGTTGCCGCTCTGCTGCCCTGGGCCGTGCAGGACGCGGCGTGGTCAGATGCCAGGCCTCGTGGGCAGCCCGACCGGCCGTGAGGGCCCGTCTGCCCTCGGCTCGACCTTCTGGGGGGAAAAGAACGCGCTCTCCGTTCACAGGTGGTTCAGCGCTTTGCTGTGCTTGTTGGGAGACAGCGTGGAGGCTTGGGGCGCTGCAGCTGTGGGGGGGCCGTGGGGGTGGTGGGTTCTGTGCGGCCACAGAGCCGGTTTTCTGTCCTGGAGAGCGCCACGCCTGGCAACCTGCTGCGGGTGGTGAGCCCACGCTGTGCGCCCACGCTGCAGGTGCCCGTGGTGCTGCCGGGAGGGCGGGGTTTCATGACGCCTGGGTGGTGCCAGCTGTGGCTCCGTGGACCCGGTTCTGCGTCCTGTTGGCCTCGTGCTGCCGTGGGTGGCCGTGGGGAGTGGCCGCGGGTCCAGGGGCAGGAAACGCACCCAGCTTGGCGGGCAGGCCTGACCCCGAGAGGCCGGCTCTACGCTTTGGAGGTTTTTTAAATCAAGATGAGCCATTAAGATAGTTAAACTTTAGGCAGCTAAAGAGACTCTAGGCGTCTACGTGAGGTGGGAGAACTGTGCGGCTTCAGCTTAAAAAGCTCTTTGTTTATAATTTATTGAAGAAGTCTCGGCAAGTTCTGTTGCCCAGAGGATCCTGTCAGCCCTTTGTCCTGTGAGAAGCTGAGTGCAGAGGGATTCGGAGCTTGCAGAGGCCCGAGAGGCGAAGCTGAGGCCCCGCAGGGGCGGCTAGGCAGGGCTGTGGGGGGTGGCGGCCCCAGGAGGAGTGGGCTGCGGGCAGAGTGAGGGTAGCGTTTCCGAGCGCCTTGTGTGGATCTCACTGCAAGGCTGGGAGCCGTTGTGAGGAGGAACAAGGTGTGGCCTGCGCATGCGAACAGCTGCGGGGGTTGGGCGCCCAAACTTTGCTCATTTGCTCAACATTCTGGGGCCTGCCGGGGACAGGTGTCCCATCAGGGGTGACCCTGGGGTGTCCACAGGCGGCAGCAGGAGGTGCCTCCGCGGGCGCTGGGGGTTGTGCCACTGATGGGGGCGAGGCCAGAGACTGGTGCGGAGACTCAGCCGAGTAGGCCCTGGTGGGAACCGCCCACCCCCCCGGGAGCTGGTCCCCCTCAGCGGAGGCGCTCGAGGCCCCCGGCACTGCCGGGCAGGTCAGGGCTGGGACTGTTTTATACAAGTGCCTGGGAGGCAAAATCCGTGGGAGATTCAGCACTTCCTGCTGTGGACGTCCAGCTGTGCTGCCCCCGTGTGACCCACTGCGCGCAGAAACACCCACAGAGCCCCGTGCGGAGTGTGTTTTCACCCTTGTTACAGGTACAGCTACCTGGTTTTTGCATTTTTGTAAAAATCTACTCATTAAGCAGATTATTTTGGAAAACGGCGCGCAGCCTGCACGCCCCAGCCGGGAGGTGAGCGCCTCGTCTGCGGCCTGACCCGGGAGGAGAGGCTGGTCACGCCAGCCGCAGCGGAGCGGCCGCCTCTGCAGTCCGTGGCAACGGCAGGACTGGAGAGGCACGCTCGGCTGGGGGAGGGGGAGGCGCAAGGAAGCAGTGGCGGGAGCTGTGGAGACCGGAGCAGAGCCGTCCTCTTCAGTGCTGTCAGGGGGCGGGTGCAGCGCGGCTGTGGAGGCGACTGGGCTGGGGGAGGGTCGAGGGCCTGAGCCAGCTTAGCCTCGAGCTGCCTGGGGAAGTCGCTTCTCACCCAGGTTCCTCTGTACAGTGGGACAGGCGCGGCTCTCATGGGGCGCGTGCAGCCGGGCTGGTCGGTGCAGGCCGGCCTGTCCTCTCCGGTGCGGGCTGTGGAGCCTTTGGCCGGCAGGTGCTCTCGAGAGCACGATGTCGCCCGGGCCTCTGCGTCAAGGACAGTCTGCGCGTGTAGGCTGCAGAGGTCAGCCCTGGGGTCACCAGAAGGCCTGCGTGTGCATGCCTGGTGTCCAAGGAGAAGGGCGCTGGCACGGGCGCGGCCTGCAGGCTGCTCTCTGCCCCGCAGTGAGAGCCCCTGGCCTGGTGGGCGGGGCACAGCTGCCCGTGGGCGGGGCTGGTCCTGCCTGTCCACACGCTCCCCTTTCCTGTGGTCTGAGGCCTGGGCATTGTGGGCCGGGAAGCACCTCTGGGCGGGGCTGCCGCATGACACTCCGGGAATGTCCGGCCTGTGGAGTGGTGAGCGACTTCCTGTCTCCTTCTTGGGTGCCGCAAGGCTCAGGTCTGCGGACCCCTGGGCACCCGGGCCCTGTGGGCCAGCCGTGGAAAGCAGCCACTGGCCGTGGCAGGCCCCAGCTTGCGCAGGCCACAGAGCAGGTCCTCTGCCAGGAGCCTCACTGTGGCCCCGCGTCCATCACGCAGGCTGCTCTAGGCCCAGGGCACCTCTTCCTCCATCCTCCTAAGGGCCTCCTAAGGCGCCTCTCTTCTCCCGCACATAGTACACGCTCCGCCTTTTTGGGCCCTCTCCTGGCCGACGCTTCTCCGCAGCGCGCGAGTGCGGGCGGGCAGGTCAGCAGCGCAGGTGGCTGTTCCCCTAGTGAGACGGCCCCTTGTCCGGGCGTGCAGGCCTCCTTTCACAGTCGGGTGCTGGACCCAGGGGTCACGCCGTCCATGGGTGAGCCCCCCAGCCCGGGGAAGGCTGCGTTTGCCCTGGAGACGCTTTCTCCAGCCTCCGCCTGCCCACTCCCTGGCTGCCCGGCTGGGGCCCTTGGGCACTGGCCGCTGTGCCCTCACCTGGTCCCCGTGGCGGAGACGGATGGCCTGGGTGAGCGTGGAGGGGTTTCCTGCTCCGAGGGGACCCGGGGGACGAGCCCTGGCCAGGGCAGCGTGTCGGCGTGGGCGTGTGTCAGGCGCGTCTCAGCGCCGCGCTCTGAGGCAAAGTCTCTCGCCACAAACGTTCAGCAGCGGCAGGAAAGTTCAAAAGCCTCCCCAGCCCGGCGCGGCCTCGGCGGCGGCCTCGGGTGCGAGTGCTCCCGGGAGAGCCCGCGCAGTCACGCCATCTTTGATTTGAAGTCACGGCGTAAAACTGCCCGTGAGCGACAGCAACATCCTGGCAGCCCCCGCGGCCCGCGGACGGCCCCAGGTGTCCGCAGCGCCGCGCTCGTCTGCGGGATTAAGAGGTTAGCTCCGGGGACTTCAAACGGCGCGCTCGACAATAAAAGCAGAAAGGACAGAGCGCGAGGTGACTTCCTTTCTTAATTAATTGCGCTGGCCAGGTGGGAGCGGGGACTGGCCCGGCCCGGGGTCCACGGCCCACGGGGGAGCAGAGCCCTTTAATATGCTCCTGTCCTGTGTCACAGTGTGAAATTGTCCTGGTTTATGTCCCTTTTGGCAAACTTACATAAAAGTGACCGTGTACTGTATTTTATGGCCAGATGACTCTGACCCCAGCGGCTAATCCACATCAGGCTCCGTCTTCAAGGGCCGGGCGAGGAGGAAGTGCGCGGGCGGGGGCTTCGCGGCGCGTTCATTATTCTGGCTCGTTCTTGCCCCGGATCATCCATCACTTGTTGGGGACGAGTGATTAGGAAGTGCTGCTTAGTGTTAGCGGCACATGCGCGTGTTTGGGTGGCTGCGGGGAGGAAGTCTGCAGAAGGGGGCTCCGCCGGGGGCCTCTCCGGCCGTGCGCCTGGGGCGCGTTTTGATCTCGTGTTTATTACGGAAAGCGCAGCCGCTCCCTCGCGGGGGCTCCGTGTCGGTTTGATTTTCCCGACACCTCCCGGGAAGAGGACCACTGTGGCTGTGGGCAGAGCCCCCGCCCCGCGGGGAGCTCCGGCTTGGTCCTCGGAAACACTGGCCAGAGGGGCTTCTCCAAGGCCCGTCCCGGAGGTGCCGCCCGTCCGTGGGCCCGCCGGGGGGTTCCCCGCCGAGAAGGGGCGGCCGGGACAGCTGCCCGGGCCCTTCGGACGCCGAGCTCGGCGCGGCGCCTCGAGAGGAGGACGGGGCTTGTGGAGGAGTGTCCGTGCGCTCCAGTTGCGGGGCACGCCCGGCCCGGGGCTGGAGGGCCGTGTCTGCCGCGCTCCGGCGGGCGTCTTAGCAGAGGGCGCCGGCTGCACGTGCTTGGGTGGCCTCTGTGTCCAGCAGCCTCGCGGGGTCGGGAGCTTGGGGTTCAGGAGCCCCACGAAGCCCTGACTCACCCCCTACTCACCTGGGACCTTGGGCATGGCTCTCGGGGTCCACCTCTGAAAGGTGGGCCGCGGCCTCCAGGGGAGGGGCCTCCCGGGGGCTTGCCCTCCCCTTCATCCCCCCACCATGAGGGGCCTGCCCGGCGGCAGCGGCCGTGGCTCGGGCGAGTCCTTGTCAGCCCCTGGACGCGAGGATGAAGCTCTGGGACTGGGCGCCAGCCGCCGCCGTCTGGAGCAGCAAAGCGGCCGAGGAGACCGCGGAGCCGTCGGCAGCGCCGCGCCCGTTCACTTTTTGAAATAAAATTTTGTTTTACGGCAGCTCGGGTCGTGAAAAATAGCTTAGGAGGTAACTGAAGTTCAGATTTTATTTGATATGATGATTGGTAGCCGATGTCTCGTCCGCCAGGGGTGTGTGTGAAAGGGGAGGCGTTCTGGCGGGGAGGAAATGGAACGTGGCCAGTTCAGGTTTTGAGGTAATTATGCTTTAAACGGGCCCTGGCGCTTCCGCTGCTCACGGAACGCTTTGTCGAAGTAATTGTCTTCAGAATCTCTCTTGCAGAACTTCATCTGGGGGGACTGAACGCCGCCCCCTTCCCGGTGGGACGGGCTGCACTTGACGGGCAGTGGACTCAGTCGGGTCTGGGGCTGAGCGGGCCCTGGCAGGGCCCCAGGCCCGGCGGCCGCGGCGGCCGCGGCGTAGATGGCTA